GGATCCTCTCTAAAAATATTTGGATGCACTCTAAGTATGTTTTGAGGCACTCTAAACATGTTTGGATGCATTCTAAATGTTTTTGGACGCACTCTAAACGTGTTTCGACGCACTCTAAAAATGTTTTGATGCACTTTAAAAATATTTAGACGCACTCTAAGTGTGTTTGGATGCATCCTAAGTATGTTTGAAAGCGCTCTAAATATGTTTCGATGCACTCTAAACATGTTTGGATGCACTCTAAAAGTGTTTGGATGCACTCTAAAAGTGTTTGGATGCACTCTAAAAGTGTTTGGATGCACTCTAAAAGTGTTTGGATGCACTCTAAGTCTATTTTAATGCACTTTAAACATGTTTCGATGCAATCTAAACATGTTTCGACGCACTCTAAATATGCATCGACGCACTCTAAAAATGTTTCGATGCACTCTAAACATGTTTGGATGCACTCTAAAAGTGTTTGGAAGCACTCTAAACGTGTTTGGACGCACTCTAAGTGTGTTTGGATGCATTCTAAGTATGTTTGGATGCACTCTAAACCTGTTTCGACGCACTCTAAAAATGTTTGGATCCTCTCTAAAAATATTTGGATGCACTCTAAGTATGTTTTGACGCACTCTAAACATGTTTTGATGCACTCTAAACGTGTTTTATTGCCCTCAAAACATGTTTAGACGAACTCTAAACATGTTTCGACGCACTCTAAATATCTTTTAATACACTCTAAAATTGTTTTAATGCACTCTAATCATGTTTATATGCACTCTTAATATGTTTCGACGCACTTTAAACATGTTTGGATGCGCGTTGAATATGTTTTGACGTGCTCTAAACATGTTTCGACGAACTCTAAACATCTTTTGTTGCACTCAAAACATGTTTCAACGCACTCTAAACATGTTTCGAGGCACTCTAAAAATGTTTCGATGCACTCTAAACATGTTTGGATGCACTCTAAAAGTGTTTAGATGCACTCTAAACGTGTTTGGACGCACTTTAAGTGTGTTTGGATGCACTCTAAGTATGTTTGGATGCACTCTAAACATGTTTCGACGCACTCTAAAAATGTTTGGATGCTCTCTAAACATGTTTGGATGCACTCTATATTTCGATGCACTCTAAACATGTTTGGATGCACTCTAAAAGTGTTTGGACGCACTCTAAACATGTTTGGATACACTCTAAGTATACTTTAATGCACTTTAAACATGTTTCGATGCACTCAAAACATGTTTCGACGCACTCTAAATATGTATCGACGCACTCTAAAAATGTTTCGATGCACTCTAAACATGTTTGGATGCACTCTAAAAGTGTTTGGACGCACTCTAAACGTGTTTGGACGCACTCTAAACGTGTTTGGACGCACTCTAAGTGTGTTTGGATGCACTCTAAATATGTTTCGACGCACTCTAAAAATGTTTGGATGCTCTCTAAACATGTTTGGATGCACTCTATATTTCGATGCACTCTAAACATGTTTGGATGCACTCTAAAAGTGTTTGGACGCACTCTAAATTCGACGCACTCTAAAAATGTTTGGATGCTCTCTAAACATGTTTGGATGCACTCTAAGTATGTTTTGACGCACTCTAAACATGTTTAGATGCATTCTAAATGTTTTTGGACGCACTCTAAACGTGTTTTATTGCCCTCAAAACATGTTTAGAAAACTCTAAAAATGTTTCGATGACTGTAAATATGTTTTGACGCACTCTAAAATTGTGTTAATGCACTCTAATCATGTTTGTATGCACTCTTAATATGTTTCGACGCACTTTAAACATGTTTGGATGCGCGTTGAATATGTTTTGACGTGCTCTAAACATGTTTCGACGAACTCTAAACATCTTTTGTTGCACTCAAAACATGTTTCAACGAACTCTAAACATGTTTCGACGCACTCTAAAAATGTTTCGATGCACTCTAAACATGTTTGGATACACTCTAAAAGTGTTTGGAAGCACTCTAAACGTGTTTGGACGCACTCTAAGTGTGTTTGGATGCACTCTAAGTATGTGTGGATGCACTCTAAACATGTTTCGACGCACTCTAAAAATGTTTGTATGCTTTCTAAACATGTTTGAATGCACTCTAAACATGTTTGGATGCATTCTAAATGTTTTTGGACGCACTGTGAACGTGTTTCGGTGCACTCAAAACATGTTTAGACGAACTCTAAACATGTTTCGACGTACTCTAAATATGTTTCGACGCACTCTAAAAGTTAATGCACTCTAAACATGTTTGGACGCACTCTAAACATGTTTCGACGCACTTTAAAAATATTTGGATGCGCTATGAATATGTTTTGACGTGCTCTAAACATGTTTCGACGAACTCTAAACATCTTTTGTTGCACTCAAAACATGTTTCAACGCACTCTGAACATGTTTCGACGCACTCTAAAAATGTTTCGATGCACTCTAAGCATGTTTGGATGCACTCTAAAAATGTTTGGATGCACTCTAAGTCTATTTTAATGCACTTTAAATATGTTTCGACGCACTCTAAAAATGTTCCAATGCACTCTAAACGTGTTTGGATGCACTCTAAACGTGTTTGGATGCACTCTAAATGTGTTTGGACGCACTCTAAACGTGTTTGGACGCACTCTAAGTGTGTTTGGATGCACTCTAAGTATGTTTGGATGCACTCTAAACATGTTTCGACGCACTCTAAAAATGTTTGATGCTCTCTAAACATGTTTGGATGCACTCTAAGTATGTTTTGACGCACTCTAAACATGTTTATATGCATTCTAAATGTTTTTGGACGCACTCTAA